CCACACCAATCACTACAATGATCGCCCGACTCCACAGGGGGATTTCAATGAAAAAATCGTGGATTGCAAATGGGAGGAAGGTAAGAGAAAGAAGTAAGAAGGAAATAAGTGAGAAAAGTCTGAAATATTTAGACTTCCTCCTGGATAACTTTTGCGACAGAATATAGAAGATGACAAATAACACGAGCAGAACTGAAAACAGGGAAATCATAGAGAAAGCTACGGTTTTTTGACGAGAAATACAGTGTTTCCGGATTTCTTGCGCCGTAGTATTTCGGTTACTTGGAGAAGGGGTTGATGCAACGTGATCACAATCCACTTTAGCTCGAAGTAACTTTCCGAAGAGGTAATCGATGATGAAGGCAAGTGGAAATGCGTATGATCCATATATGACAATCGGTTCAATGACGGTGACAGTGAGTACGAGGAGGAACATCACAATCGTATCAAGGACTCCTTGACGTGGCCTCTCCCAGTTACAAAAATAACCAGCTCTTTGTCGCATGTTGTCAAAGAACTCTTCATGCCATTCTTCGCTTTCCTCTGTTTTCTTCTCTTTTCTGTATTTCCAATCCAAAAAGGATGTGCCTGTGTAACCACCCCCTGACACGCAGCTCAGATAGTCTACTTTCGCTTTATCCTTTAGCAGCCTGCGCAGGACCCCAGAGCATAGTGCCGCTGACCGAATGCCACCACCAGAAAAAGCCAAACCAGTTTTATTAGACGTCATGTTGTCTGAAAGTGTAAAAACTTATTGTTAGTTACAAACACCAACGGAACCGTACCACCTTTTAGATCCAAACTTGTAGGATCTACGCATAACACCAGTTTAAAACCAGTGGTCGAGACATCTTACCCCCCTTGTCTTTACAAAAAAAAATGTCCTCCCTCCTTAATAGATTTGCACCTGAATGATTTCCGTATGGCTTATTGAGGATATTATTCTTTTAGGGTTAAAACTCGTCACTTACGTCAAGCCCACGTAAAGTGAAATTGTTCATACGATACCAAACATTGCTTTGGGTTAAGTATAACCCTCGATTTCATTTAGCGAACACCAATTATCACAAGAAAGAATATAACACGAGGACATTGCATATGGTCCATGTTGGCCTTTTAACTCCCAGGAGTGTTTAATATGTAACTCCTCCCTATGATTTTCATAATTTATCCAGCAAACAGGAAATGAGAATACTACGACTTATCAGATAGACGTTATCTTGATCTAACACCAAATTCTTGGAACTGATTTACATGAAAATGTGTAGCAGCTAAAGAGGAGAATTAACAATCAGATCTTGGGAGCCTGAGTGAAAAGGTTAATCGAATTTTTTTCGGTTATGGAAGACATCAATCGAAATTCCTTCCTCAAATTGACGAAGATAAAAGCAAGTTTGCTTTCGTAGACGGTGAACAAAGAGTAAATAAAGACGGGAAAGAAAATTTTAGCGCGTTGTTCAGTCCTTGAGATATGGGATCTAATCAACCATAAAATTAAGACAACAGATATGCAACGTCTGTTCCAGAACATAATTTCTACATAATTAAATGACCTCAAACTTCTGGGTGAGTGCGTCACAATTACCAAACGGAAATTGTAACCCGTCATCAGCGCACCGTTGTGCATGCATTACCTTAGATGGCGTCAAAATGCAGAATCTTAAAATTTCTCAAAGGGGACCATCAACAAGAAGAGCTAAGATTAAGATGTTATTACAAACAATTTAGGTTTAGGCGAGATACGAGACAGCGAGTGTCAAGCTAAGGGAACAGGCTTGGCAAGAGCTAACAAGTGTTGGTCTACCAACTACGATTACAATTACAATCTACCAACTACAATTTTTTTCTTTAAACAGGGTGATTTGTGAGCAAACTGTGAACTTCAGAAAAGTGAAAGTCAAGGCGACCAGGTCAGATCACTGGGATGAATGCTTAAAGTTTCTGTAGGCATCTTGTAGAATTAACAGGTTTATGAAGGTGGGAATTTTATGTGGAAAGGGAAAAGGAAAGAGATTGGTATAATTTGAAAGTGCCTTTCCGCTGAGCTCCAGCGTCGCTGATGAAATAACCCTGAGTTATACTCACCGTTCCTGCATTGAAAGACGTGTTATTGTACTGACCAGCTTGCGAAACAACTGCAACTGATTCTGTTCACCACTCGGACTGCAAATGTATGGAAAGATCTGTCAATGACCGGACGCCAATATGATAATATTCCGCATTCCAAGCTTACTAGAAAACAAATCAAAGGAAGTCAATCCACAGGCAGTGAACAACACTCAAGTAAATACTTCCCGTCACGAACAAGGAGAGATAGCCACATGTTCGTATGTGGAGACTCCTTCCTCTAACTGATATCGTTACGTTTTTTTTTAACTCTACTCTTGTTGAACTCCTTCTCCCATTAAGAAATGTGGGTGTCTTAACCCTTTACACCGTGTCATCAGTATCAAATTCTTCCTACTGTCCTCCATAGATTTACTATGACACTTACAAGGAGAATTTGTTTAATAATCAAGAACTTTTGAGTTCACAATCATTTCTTTTATTCTCACAACCTTAAAAGTTGATTCAAGGGGTTATAGTGTTGGAAGAAATTAGATGCTTATCGCTCTTAGAGTATAAAGGATTAAAGCACCCATGCCTGACTGTTCATTGTTCTTTCTGCCTTTTGGCCTGATGATGTGCTGTCTTCCGTGAAGTGTCTACATCAACTTTACGAGTCTCTCTGTCAGTTTTCAATAATTGCAGTCACCCTGAAGAAACATCTGGCTATCTTAAAAAGCCCTAGGAACGAGGTTGGTGGTTTCATCAACTTCAGGAGGGTTCCCTCCACTGTTTTAAGTAGTTTCCTTCAACCATCGAGTTATGCAAACAGACCATTTTTCAAAACCTGCGACTAAAAATCAAAACCACGGAAATATTGGACAGTTACCCTCCTTTATTCGGTGGGCCTGTAAAGTATCATGATAGCCAACCCCAACCATAAAAAAAGTTAGCAAGACGTAATCTCCATTAAAGCTTAGCATGAAAAGAAATCAGACAGACACCTGAAGCATACCGAAGTTACGGTTCGAATATCATGTCAAAATTAGCATAGATATTCAAGTTGGTCGGTTCCACTCACGTCAGTACTCGCCATCCTTAGCTGTCCAGGTTATTCTCGGGTCTTACTTTGCGTAATTTGGTATTTTGATCACACGAAATGGGTAGTTTGTGGAAACATTGAAGACTTAAAAAATAGAAACATTTTAAACATTCTACCTCTTTCTAGAGAGGGAAGATGCGAAATTGAAGCGGCCGAAGTTCACTCAAGTGTCGAACAATATTGATAAAACATAAAGTGAAGGTCAAAAACAAGTGGTTGTTCCTTCCGGTTAAACGGTTTGCGGTTGATACTTTAACTTCCTTCCTAATTTTGTTACAATTGAATAAGTGACTTGGTAATGGCCATTGCGGAAACCAAACAGTTGGAATAGAATAACATGAAGCTAAATAGTTCAACGGCACAGTTGAATGAACAATTTTAATTTGTGTCATTTCATTGTTTAAAGATTTTAAAGTGGTTGACGCATTTCAAGGACTGAGACTGTTACAAGTTTGTTTATCATTTCGCTAGGAATTTCAAATTGCTCGCAACTAGCTAGTACTTTTAGGAAGCAAAGTCAGATCATTCAAATCATAGAAAACTTTCTCCTTTAACCAAGATTCGAATACATTTTTGAATGCCATTATCTATCAGCAGATCATTTTTTGCATAACAGGTCAGTGTACGTCTTTGTCTAATCTCATTCCCAGATTCTACCGTGTAACGATCATTACCATCGTCACTAATTCCTACTCCAAAAAAAAATTATGCCATCCTTGTCCGTCGCTCTTGATAAATTCTTGTTATAATCGGTCAAAACGCGTCTTACCCTGAGGTTTATCTCGCAATTCTCTTGATTCACCGCGAAAGTGAAGTGTTTAATCAGTTTGATCAGTGATCGAAATAAATCTAAAATCGATCACCGCTTTCTAGAAAACAACTAAATAATGAAACCAGACATTCGATCAAAAGCTTGAGCTTCATGAACTTTAGAATCATCAACGTGTCCTTACACATATACTTCCTCTCGACAGTAACAAATCGATTCTAAGAAGTATCAATACCAGCACCTTCGCTAAATCGTTCAATACTTTAGATGAGGATATCTGAAACGCCACAAAAGTGAATTAAAGGTATGCTTGGACGACCAGTTAAGATAAAGACGCAATTTCCGGTCATTCAACTCATCTTCCTGTCTCTATCTTTTTCGTGTATATATGGTCTGTGGCCTTTTGGATAGCTTGATATATTTTAACCGTATATATTTTAACTGCAATTAGTTTAGAACGCATTTGGAACCAATAAGATAATAGCCTTGATAAAACTACTTGATCATTCAAAGTCCATAATTTTCATGTATTTACTTATCAATCAATTTACCGTCCTTATACATTGAACATAAGCTAAAGGACCAATTAGCTCAAAGCTCGATTTAACTAGCTCAGTGTAAACGGAAGATTTCGTCTTTCTTTCGTGGCTTTGCAGGGACAAGTACTAAAAATATTTAATTTGCATTAGTTATATATTCCTGTATTAGCTCCGACCGTCAAATGAACAATTAACTCAAGCGTCAACATACTCAGGAGCAGTTATTTACATTTACATATTCAATTTCTGGCAAGGGTAGATATTTGACCCAAAAGTTATCAAATATTTGGATGAATCAAAAAGTTAAAAAAAAAGTCATTTATTTGTAATGAAAAGCTGTCAATCAAATTTGACTGATGTTTGCGTCGTGCATTCATTAAGAATGTAACGATATGTATACAATCTCTCTGAGTAATCAGTTAAATACCATTGCGGTGATAGTTTCATACATTTACGTATTTTGAAGCGATTTCTCTGGTGAAAGCCAAGAAAAACCAGGGCATCCATCATCCCCTGGAAATAACCAAAAAGAAACCATTTGGTCTGTTTGAGTAGGCAAATTTTAACTGAAATCGGTGAGATGGCATGTAGCATCTGGTGCTCTCGTGGACCGGCACACCCTCAAATCAGCTGACAGCAGCTATACCAGCTCTGTAGGATAATTTTACCTCAGCTTCTTAGGATTAGCGCTAATCGTCTTACGAACGATCCTTTAATAAATATTTACATATTCAGCAGCAGTTATTTGATTCACATATTCAATGTCGCTGTCTTCTGTTGATTTCACAAGGGAAGTGTACGTTCGGGAACCATCGTTTTCAGAGGTCTGCAAAATATTCAGTTTTATATGTTAGAAAAATTGTGTTATTATCGACTTGGCAGGCTTGGTAATGCTGGAAAACACGACTAAAATCGCCGGTGCAAATGAAAAAAAAATTGAAGGAAACCATAAACACTGCCAAGTGAAAATTAGACATTCATTCAAATACATTTCTAGTGA